AGGCTCTCAACAGGATAAACAGTGCACAAAGTCAAATAAATCTCAGATCATTGCCTAAATCAATTAATGTCAAGTAAAAAACGATACATTCAAAGTCAAATGTAGGTTGAATTCAAATAAACTATAAAAAGTTACTAAATGAAAAATACCGTACCTGAGAGCATGGCTCCTTTTGTGCATGAGCAAACTGCATGTGTTGTCAACAAAATGCCTCCAACTTGTTGATAAGTTCTAGTTGAAGTAGGTTTTGTTATCATTTGTATCACATGTGGTACATGAGGTGGAACAAAGTTGTGTACACAGGAGCATCTCAGCTTGTTCAGTCATGAGTCTATTCCTGTGTTTGTCCACCATGTTGGATGCAGCGCTGAATAAGTGCTCACTCTCCACACCTGTGCAGGTGCAGGCAGCGAAGCTCTTGCTACTGTAGCGAGGTCCGGAAAGCGTTCCTTCATGGTGTCCCAGTATTCCAGTGGAGATGCACTGTGAGAGATGGGTGGCTCTGAGAGGTAGATAATCATCTCTGATGGTGTTGAACTGTCGGTGCGAGCCTGCTGCGTGGTTTCTTCTGCCAGGACCTCACCAAACACTGAAGACAAGGTTCCTGGTCGTGGTACTTTCTCTGCTGGCTCCCCGGTGTTGGCTTCAGTTCTTGGTTTGGGTTCCTCTGAGCACCTTCTGTCATCAGACAAAGGAACAGTCTATGTGTTTTGTTCTTGAGACCTTCAGAATAAAATCTGTCATTGTAACTTGAATGCGGGGTGGGGGGGTGGGGGTGGGGGGGCACGTTAACATTAATTTCACATAAAACGCATTGTTTCAGACTAGTTGAGAAAAAACCCGTTAACTATGTAAATATAAATGCTTATTTTTTGTTATTATTTGATGATAATTTTTAGGGGTGCACCTGATTTCCTTAATTTGGGGAAATCGTCCGATACTTACATGAGAATGATTTTACGATATTTTTTTTTTGTTTTAACATCAATTGTCTGAACTTTATTTATATTTCAGAGCACTACCTCATGGACAGTTAAAACAAGTTTGTATTGTTTCTTGGATATTGTTCAAGGGTAAGTTTTTCAATCAAATAATATTGGACAATTGAAGGTGCATTGTGACCTTATAACTCCTGACAGTGTCGATTATAAAACAAAATCAGAATCGGCTGGTCAGACTTTTTAGAGATCGGTGATCGTCCAGAAAACTGCAATCAGTGCACCCCTAATAATTTTCTCGCCTTGGGTCTATGACTGTTGCTCAACTGTAGAGGGGCTCCCTTTCAAAGTCAGCAGATCTTTTGGTGACAGTCTGACAAAGTCTTTTGGATTAAAGACAAAACGTTTCAACAAGTTTTTATTTTTTTATTTCATCTGTCCAGAGGACCTGACTTAACAATTTTAGATTTTTCTACCTGGATTATTGAGCATGCATCAGGATCTTTTGGTTACAGCTTCCAGCAACATGGTCTTAGTTGTCTTCACACCATGACCTGCTGCAACATCTTTGACAAGGACATGCTTTAAAATCATTGTTCGAGCTATTTGTTGATCCTCCTGACTGTCACGTTCATACGGTCAAGTGTTGCCAAGTGTGGGCTGCGTTAGCTACCAACAACTGGGTGTTGTCCTCTACAGTGATTCTCCAAAACTCACCGTACTCCGTCAAGTGTTTTTCTTTAAATGTCGTATTGAGTTTGTCATGTTGGATTTTAACGTGCTTTCCTGCGAGGTATTTTTTCATTGCATATGTTGCAGGATGCAAACTTTACATCACTCTCACAGACGGTGTAAAAGTTTCACACAGCATGTTTGCTATGTAGCGGTAGTGTAGGTCGAATATATTGGAATTTATTAATTAATCAGTCTCCTAAAATTAATCAAAATGGGAGTTCTTTTGTAGGATTAATCATGCATCATATTAAAAACACACACTTGAATGAAACACATCGACTCGCCTTTAAGATTTTGTGATTTTATTTTGAAAATGAGTAGTAATAAGCAGCGGTATATGAGTAATGACGTATAATGTGTGAAAACTAGTAACATTGAAATAAGATTTAAAATTATGAACATATAACAATGATGTTAATTTTGAAAGAAAAAAGGTAAAATAATGAAAATTAACTGATACTGCTAAGGCAAGTTGACAGGTTGTTTGGGTTTATAAAGATGTTTATCTCTTAAACTAGTAAAGAAACTTAATACTTCCAGGCTGAAGTGCTTTTTGTCTGGTAACTCCATGACCCACCAGTGACTGAAAGGTTTTGTCCTACTGGGAGGTTAACTTAGTCTCTGCGTAAGTGCAGGGCAGCTTTACTTCATTTGATTTCATTTTAACTCCTATTTTAATGCTTTTAGTTTCAGTTTGACTATCTGTTTGCTAACTTTGGCTACTATTTTGCTTATTTAAGTTTTAGCATCTTTGTTTTTGGTAATTTTAGATGCTGTTTAGCTCCTTTTAGCTACATTCCAATTAGCTTTTAGGTGCTGTTTCGGCACTTTTAGCTTCAGTTATCTAAACATTTATTAGCTAACTTTGGCAACTGTTTTGTTGATTTTTAGTATTAGCATCTGTTTTCGTAATTTCAGATGCTATTCTACTTTTAGCTTCCCTTCTGCAGTTTTAGCTTGTTCTGCCCATTGTAGGGCCACCTGCATCATGAAGGACCCCGCTCACCCAGCACACACACTTTTTGCCCTCAGCCAGGAGGCTGTGGAGCATTAAGTGGAGAAACAATAGACTGAGGAACAGCTTCTACCCTGAGGATATTAGACTCTATCCATCCATCCATTATCTTTACCTACTTCTTCCTTTTTGGGTCCTGGGAGTTGCCGGTGTCTATATACAGCAGTCACTGTGTGAGAGGCAGGGGACACCCTGGACAGGTCTCCAGTCCATCATAGGGACACAGAGACAAACAACCATTCACTCTCTCACTCACACCTAGGGGCAATTTAGAGTTACTAATCAGACTAACATGCATGTTTTTAGTCTGTGGGAAGAAACTGGAGTACCCGGAGAAAACCCATTCATGCATGGAGAGAACATGCAAACTCCACCCAGAAAGACGCCCAGACCGGGATTTGAACCGGGGCAACCTGCTCGCTGAGAGGCAGCAGCTCTACCACTGTGCTGCCTGCTGTCAGACTCATAAATCCCTAATCCCTAATCAGGATTATCATTGTGAAGAAAATAAAATCACTGTAATGCCACTTGATTGTTGACATGTGCTGCTGATTATCCATGCTGCTGATCTCATGCTGCTGATTATTTCATGCTGTTATATTCATTTATACTCATCTGCTCACACAGACTCATGTTCGTGCTGCTGTTGTTTGGCGTATTGTTTTTGTACTACTGGTGTTTAGCTTTTTTGTTTTTTACAATTTATATTTTTGCTGTTGTTGGGTGTAACTGGGACCATGAGTACACGATTTTGTTCCACCTCATGTACCTCAACTGATGCGAATGATAATATGACCTAACTGAACTTGAACTTTATTCCATGCTCTGCTTGTTTTAACACTTATCAGCTTCGTTTTAGCTTCTTTATCACATTTCAGCATTCATTCAGCTCTCAATTGGTTTAGTTTTAGCTCATATTTTTAAGGCTTCTGTCGTCGTAAATCTGAACACTGCTTCTTTCCAAATGAAGAGCTCCCAAACCTGAAAGCTGTTTTCTGCCTTTATATGCAAATTAGCTAAAATACATATAAGCTAAAGTATGTTTCGGCTGCAAATTGTTAGTTCAGAGTAAGGAAAATTATTACTTAAAATCACATTACACCAAATTCAGCTGTGTCCACCTACTCATGTTCTCCCTGGCACCTACGGGTGGTGCATTATGACCTCCCCCACCTAAAGGCGCCAGAGTGTTATCTTTGATTAGCATCTGCATGACATCCTGTACGCCCCTGCTCACAGCTGTCTGAGAGGAGAGAGGAAGCTGCAGCATCCCTGAGAAACTCTCTTCCTCCCCCTGCACGTGTGGCTGACTGTACAGCTTGAGAGGCCGAGCTGTGCTCAGGCTGGTTGTTGATTCATCGTGAAGGCACAACTGAGGCGAGCTTCCACGTGTTTACACTCAGGAAAGATCAAATAATTACTACAGCTCGTATTTAAACCCAGCGAGCTAACAACTCCTTATACTGGTGCTTTAATCTGCTTTACCTCCTGGTCTTTTTTTCAAGATTACAACATCACTCCCATTATCATCATGGCTTCGTCCTGTTCTGTTCCACCTGCACAGTACCACACAGCTTCTAGGATGCAGTGTTGCCAACTTCTCAGTACAAAAAGTAGCTTTTGGCTGCACTCAGCATTGTACAGAAACAGCTTAAATTTGTTTAGAACAACAAATAAACGTTCTGCTGTTTGTTCTTTTTGACGAGGGGTAATTGGAAATACTCTACATCCGCCTGTGTTGTGAGCAAGTGAGATACAGTAGTCCCACGCTACTTCACAGTTCGTTTATCACTGAGTCGCTCTATCGTGGTTTTTCAAAGTAAGATTGGACATGACACACAATTGGCTGATTGATGGATGAGCCACATGATCGGCATGGAATTTTTATTTAAAATAAATTATTTAAAATTATTTAGCACCTGCTGCACATTTGTGCAGCCCACACTGCAGAATAAACTTCCTCCTGCAGCTGATCTTGGCTCCACTGTGGAGAAGTGAGTGTGGTCAAGAGTGCAGAGTGCAGCCATAAATAATGACATGCTGTATTCTTTTAGAGCGTTTAGAGTTTAGAAACATTGTTTAGAACATTGCAAAAGTGTGGGAAGGGTTTTAAACGCATATACACACACACGCACACACACACACATATATATATATATACATGAAATCATGCAGGCATAACAAAAGTATAAAGAGAATTTTTTAGTTTACTTGTAACTAAATATCGATTATTTAAAAAAATTTTTTTTATAAGAAACATGATTTTTTTCTACACCTGCTGCTAATACTCAGTATTTGTTGTCTTCAAACAGCAACGTTTGGAGCCAACGCCATCCTGGGTGTGTCTCTAGCGATCTGTAAGGCCGGTGCAGCGGAGAAAGACGTCCCTCTGTACCGTCACATAGCCGACCTGGCCGGAAACACAGAACTTGTGCTGCCGGTTCCTGTAGGTGAACCACAAATCCTCACCGGTGCTGTGAAAATTAACAAAAGGTTTGTGATTGTGTCATTTTAAATGTTTTCTCGTCGCGTCTTTTCAGGCCTTTAATGTGATAAATGGAGGATCTCATGCAGGAAATAAACTCGCCATGCAGGAGTTCATGGTTCTACCTGTCGGGGCCGAGTCTTTCAAGTAAGGATTTATTTTTGAAACAATTTGACGACACTTAAAGAACAAGTGTTTTTGAGTTTTGTGTTATTACCATGAAACCACACAAATTATGGAAGTCATCAGTTGTTAAATTTAAAATATTTTATGTCACCGATTCTACATTTACACGATGGTATTTCTGTTTTGTTTTGTTTCCAGAATATTTATTTTCATTTCAAATATTTTGGTGGTCAAAGTTACAGTTAATACTGAGGTTGAGGGTTCGAGTCCAGGTTGCGTCAGTGAGGGCACCTGGCTTAAAACTACTGAAAATGTTTCATGCGAGTTTGTTCGCCGTGGAAACCCCTGAAGAAGGAAGCAGCCAAAATAAATTGTATTTATAAATATTTTCCCTACAGGAAAATATTTAAAGCCTCTTTAGTTCCTTAAAAAACATTTTTCTCTTTGAATTCTGCTTTATTTAGCACGCTTGCTCTATTTTTGTTTTCTTTTAGTTCGGTTACTTTCAGCTTCTAGTTAGCCTTTAATTTTTAACTAGCCTTTTGCTACTTTAGGCTTTCATTTAAAAATGTGCAACTTTCACTTTTAGCTGGCCTTTTGCAATTTTTGCTTTTAGCTACTTTTTGGATGCATTCAGTTAGCTTCTTACTATATTAGTTTTTGCTAGCGTTCTGCTAATTTTAGCTATCAGCTAAAGTTTTGCTACTTTAAACTGACTTTTCGCTATTTATTGCTCTTAGCTGATGTTTTTCTACCTTTAGCTTTTAGCTTTTGTTTTGTACTATTACCTTTAGCTAGTGGCCTGCTTCTTTTAGCTTTCAAATTCTTCAGAAAATTTCAAAGTCATTCATCCCTCAACATCCACACTTTATTTTCCCAGAATGCAATGCACGTTCTCTGGTTTCCTACCAAGTTTTCGTGTTTCTCTCCTGCTGTGACCTTCAGGGAGGCGTTGAGGATAGGAGCCGAGCTCTACCACACTCTGAAGGGAGTGATTCAGGAGAAATACGGCCAGGACGCCATCAACGTGGGCGATGAGGGGGGATTTGCTCCCAACATCTTGGAGAACAGTGAAGGTGAAGCTCCTTGACTTCGGTTCACCTCGGCTTTTTAAGCTTCACATCCTTCTGCTTGTGCATGATCTCGAACGGGAACGAAATAAAAAATAGTTTGTGAAAAGAGAAGAAGTCAAAGTTTAGGAGTAAATCAGACTTTTAATAGCCGAGCTTTAAATGTTAACAGTGTCTCCTGACTTGAATGGGAATGACGTCTTTTAAATTTTCACAATAAAAGCATGCCAAGAAAGTCACAAGAAATCTTAAAGTAAAAGTTTGTAGATTGTATTTGGTCTGCATACGTCATGATCTTGACATTCTCCGAAGCTAAGTCCAAAAGCCCCAGTCCTTCTAAACATCTGCGCCCATCTGCCCTAGCCCTGGACCTGCTGCAGACCGCCATAGAGAAGGCGGGTTTCACGGATAAGGTGGTGGTTGGGATGGACGTGGCCGCTTCAGAGTTTTACCGTGAAGGTAAATACGACCTGGACTTCAAATCCCCTCCAGATTCATCGCGACACATCTCTGCAGATGAGCTGGCTGACATCTACCAAAGCTTTGTGAACAATTACCCAGGTGAAGCGTCTTTGTTCCGTTTGCCAACCTGTGAGCGTGTGCTGAAGGTGTTACCTCATAGTTGCTCCTTTTTCCTTCCAGTGGTGTCCATCGAGGACCCTTTTGACCAGGACGACTGGGAGGCCTGGACCAATCTGACGGCCCAGGTCGGGATCCAGGTTGTTGGAGACGACTTGACGGTGACCAACCCAAAGAGGATAGAAAAAGCTGCTGAGGAGCGAGCCTGCAACTGCCTGCTGCTTAAAGTCAACCAGATCGGCACCGTCACCGAGGCCATTCAGGCGTACGTCTGCGTCGGTTCAAAATATTAACTCCAAATTTAGGGAGAAGAGGAACCTGTACCTGTACAAATATTAATACAGTAGTCCCTCATTTGTTGCGGGGGATTTATTTGAGTATTCATATATATTTTAAGGCTTTAGAAACCGTTCCCACACTCTTGCAATGTTCTAAACTCTTAACCCTACTAATTTTAACGACATACGTACACGTAGCTACTAAATTTTACTCACCAGCTCTGCAGAACACCAGCGGCTCTCGGTTCCGCTCGGTTCCGGTCCGACTCGGTTCCTTTTCGGTGGACCTACTCTGCTGGCTCTGGTCAGCTCTCTGGCTCGGGGTAGTGGCGGTTGGCTCTAGAGAGAAGCCGGACCTACAGCGGCGCGTCCCTCTTGGAAATCCTGATGGGCCGGCTACCAGCTCTCGGATTCTCCGATGAATCTGGGGGCCCGGTTCTGGTCCGGTTCTGTGCAGCCCTTGAGCACTGAAGCGCTTTTTTTGAGATGAGGGGGCTTCGGGTGGCCGACGCGGGACCTGTTGTCCAATTGAGCCGTCCGATAAAAAGATGAAAAAAGTCCCATGGGCTTGGGAGTGAGCGCTGGACTAGTTGGCCGGCTACCAGCTCTCGGATTCCCTGATGGGTCTGGAGGTCCGGTTCTGCTCCGGTTCCTGATGGGTTCCATGCTGCTCTCTGAATCCACTGGGCACCGAAGTCACTGTAAAGGACCAAACTTTTTTGGATCAGATCAAAACTTGCCCTTTACGTATTTCAGCAGAAGGCAATGGGGCTTCTGGGTGGAGCCCTGTTGGCTTCTGGGAAATGTAGTCATTATGAGTGGAGATACAGTGTAGGCTTATTGAGAAAAAACTACAAAATGGCGGCGCCTGTCCGAAACGTTTTATTTTTCCGTTAACTGTTTACTGTACAGTATCCTGTACTGCCCCAACCACATGAGTAATTCTAAAGTTGACAATCACGTGTCGTGTACAATGTTTTTTCCTCGTGTTCAATATTACTTTGAAAAACTGCGAAAGAGTGAGTCTGCGAATGTCAAACCATGAAGTAACGAGGGACTACTTTAGTTATAGTTACAGTTTAAAGGCTGTTAAAGTAAAAAAGGAGAGTATTTTGATAAATTGTACAATTTATTGCTGATTACTTCTTTCTAGAAATATTTTTGTTTGCAGTACATACATGGCTCGTGCAGCTTTCATCAGGTCATGTGACCTATCCATTCCTCATGTTGTGCAGCGTTTCCTTTATTAGTTTTTCATGAGATTTCCCTTAAGCGCTATTTTTCTCCTCAAATCATTGAAACAGTTGTCACGTTCTTGACAACGAGCTGTACAAATCACCCGGGGGACGTTACACGAACAGCAGCGATTAGAGGAGAAAATGGTGAACCAGGTGCTCATATTGGTTCAGTCGGGGCCCTGTTGGAGCTTTGCAAAGATCATAAAACGTGTTTATTTAGATAAAGTACAAATACCATATTTTTCACTGTATAAGTTGCACTTTTTTTGCATAATTTGCATGCCCTGCAACTTATTTATGGATTTTTTCCTCCATATTTATAAACCATTAATTGGCTGGGATATGACTGTTTTCATTCATTCTGACTGAAAATATTCAACACTACCATTTTCAGCCACTAGATGGCACTTGAGTAGTATGGCATGCCGTTGTATCATGTAATAAGTAAAACGTGGCTATTAATGACACAATCGGCTTGCCATAGCCTACCACCGTCATCTCTCTGGAGCAACCAAATCAGCTTCATTTCGCTGCACCGCCCCGGCGAAATGCAGCTAATTTGACCGTCAAAGTGCGTTTATTAAGTAAAAGTTCAACTGAGACACAACTCTACTATAAAGTGAGCAAACAAATAATTGTTTTTAAGTGTTAATCTTGTTTAAGTCCTCCCTTGCACGCTCCCACGGCCGCCATTTGGCAGCCCATCGATTTTTGGCACAACACCGGCACATTCCCACGTTTGTGGGTTGTCAGCGGTGACGCATAATAGATGCAACATATTTATGGATTTGTCCGCTTTATTAGACATATTTGGACTGATGCGACTTATTGGGAGGTGTGACGGATAGAGATGTGAGGCTTCTGGCACAGTGTCAAGATCCCAGTTGTCTGTCCTCCTTTCTGTTGCTCTCCTAGGGGCTCCTGCATGGAGTGTGCCCACCCGTCACCTGGGTGAATTGTCTCTCAATCAACGACTAATTGCATTTTCAATACACGTCTCACCCACCGATCCATTCACGGCAATGCGCCACACTATCTTAAACTTCTCACTGCTCAGACATGTCCCTCCGCTCCACAAACTCCTACCAGCTCCGCCCTTCCCCGACAAAACTTGTGCATCATGGGTGACAGGGCCTTTTGTTCTAATGCTCCTTTTCTGTGGAACAACCTCCCCGACCATCTAACCCATACTACAGAAAGTTTTAAGAAAGGACTGAAGACCTTTTTATTTAAAAGATTTTAGTGTTTACATGTATTTTTAATCCTGCAGTTTATTTTTGTTTTTAAAAAGTTTAGTCCTTTTCTTAGTCCATGTTTTATTCTCTCTAGATATTTTATATTTCAGCACTTTGAGATTGTAAAATATAAAGCGCAGCACATATTGAATAAATTATTATTATTATTATGATCACGTCGTCCTTCGACACACCTCTTTGCCTTTCTGACTGCCTGAAGGTTTTAGGTCCTGGCATCCTGCTCAGTCGTGAAGACGTCAGGGCACCGGCTCGAGTGCATTCCTCTTTAAGATAAAGAGGAACTAATGTGCTCACACCATAAAGATTTCTGACCTCGGATGCTTCAACGAGCCACAAAACAGGTTCTCCATCTTGAGCTGCTATCAGTTACATAAAACACACACAGAGCCAGTTTACATCATGTCTGTTAGATGAGTTACTTCCTGTCAGCTGCGTTGACCTTGTGCCAGAGAGTTCAAACATGGACGATAATGAAAAATAGGAAATGACAGGAGGTTTTTTTTTTAACGTCTAACAATTTGTTTAGTAAATGATGCAACAAGATGGGCTTTGTTGTGCATTTTAATCTCATATTGGTGAAATCTTTGTGGTGAGTAGTTGCACTCCTGGATGTGTGCGCGTCATCACTCTCAGAGAAGACGTCTCTGAGCTTCATGAAGCCGTCAATCAGGAGCTCGTTGGAGATCACAGCAGCAGGAGAGAAGAAGGTGTGAGGAACATCTACTGATACAAATGGATCTGATGACAAGTTTCATTCATCTTGTTAAAAACATCTCTGAGCGGAACCCTGAAGCATCTGGACACGTCTGAACTTCCTGTGCACGTGTCAGAAGCCCTGCGGTCACAAATGAATCATAATATGATTAACGCTCGTGTCTAATGAAAGCTGTGAAGAAATATAAACCCAACGTGATGTTTATGAGTTAATGGAGAGAAGGTGAATTTGATCCTCTCGTGACTTTGCTCTTTATTCAATTTAAGAAAAAACAGCAACATTAAAGCTGCATTCATTTAATAAATAAACGCTTCATGTTCAGGCGTTCAGATTAAAGTCAAAGGTGATAACTTCTATATTCTGAGTAAGGATGTAAAATACATCAATTATTTTATTTTTTGTTGATGTTTGCTACGCAAAGTTATTGTTTGTGTGATGTTCTTTCATACTTAAGCTTTGTTTTTAGCAAAACCATTTAGGATTAGATCAGATTATTGCAGATATATTGAGTGTTTCACCTTTAAAAAATGTTTTGTTTGGACCTTCTTCTTGTTCTTCTCTTCTTGTTTTTCTTCTTGTTGCTGTTGTTCTTCTCTTCTCCAATTCTTCTTCTTTTTCTTGCCATTCTTGTTCTTGTTGCTGTTCTTCTTTTCTTGTTCTCTTGTTCTTCTCTTCTTTTTGCAGTTCTTCTCTTCTTCTTGTTGTTCTTCTCTTCTCCAATTCTTCTTCTTTTTCTTGTTCTTGTTGCTGTTCTTCTCCTTCTTCTTCTTTCAGCTTAAACCATCAGTCCAGTCCAAACCTTTTTTTTCTTCACACCCCTCCACATCTGAGCCAAAACAAAAACGACTTCATCGCAGTGAACATTTTAACATAACGAGCTGAAATCTGGTCACGCAACACACACTTTCTGAGGACGAACACACAATTACTCACATTAATGCATGAGACGACGTCGTTTACCAGGTTTATTTCATTTTCTCAGCTCCAGATGATCTCGGTTTGAAACGAGCTCAGGCAGTTTGCAATCCAAGGAACGCTCGGCCTTTGATTCGATTGACATTTAGTAAATTATTTCTGAACGTTTTATTTTTGTCTCTCAGGTGCAAGCTGGCTCAGGCAAACGGTTGGGGTGTGATGGTGAGCCATCGCTCAGGGGAGACGGAGGACACCTTCATTGCTGACCTCGTGGTGGGACTCTGCACTGGACAGGTGAACACACACACACACACACACGTATATACATATATATATATAATATATAATGAACTAATGCTTGTTTAAAATAATAATTTTGGGAACTTTTTTCTTGCAGTTTCTTAAATGTCTGTGTCTCTTGCAGATTAAAACGGGTGCTCCCTGCAGATCCGAGCGATTGGCCAAGTACAACCAGCTCATGAGGTGAGACCACAAAAACATTTTATTAAAACTTTACAGACCGTCATGACATCACTCTTTGTAACAAACGAGAACATTTAGTAATACATTTGTTTTGTGAATCTATTAATAAAAGTCAGAACATCATCTGAATGATTTTACAGGTACTTTCTGATCCAAATACACGACATTAACGTGCACCCCCACCAACGCAGTCAGACGTAATTAATTAATTAATTAATGGGAGGGCTTTTACATGAAAAGGCAGAACTTGTAATATTCAGCATTTCTGTGCCTGCTGTCCAAACATGGCAGCAGAGCTGCAGTATCATGTCTCCTTTAGGTGCTAACTCTGTTTTAGTGTTTGTGGTCTGAGCTAATTCATGTGACAGTCAACAGCCGCGCCACCTGATGCGTCCGAGCCAGTCAGCGTCTGAGGGGGGGCTCGGCTCGGTGGGTTAATCCCATCAGACTGCAGAGGAGAGGTGGAGGATGAAAAGACTTACAGGAGCATTAACCAGTGATTAGTCATTTAAGTACCAGTACAGACCAGAGTCAAACGTTTCTTAGAGAAATAGACAAAAACGTCTCGGTCTTTACAAAGATTAACAAGTTTTAGGGTCAAAAATCTCTCCAGATTATTCTATTTGTCGTTAACTAATCTCACAAAAAGATTCAAATCAGTAACTCGTTTTTTTTTTTTTTTTAAACATTTTATCAGTATGCTGGAAACACTTGACATATTTTACTGTGCAAAAGTCTTGAGTGATTCATGAGTTCTTCCTGTTTTCCTTCAAAATAAAGCCAAATTTTTGGGGAGTGGTGGTTTAGAGCCTAGAGAAGGTGGGCCTGTGATTGGAAGGTTGCCAGTTCGATTCTCTGGACTGACAACATCAGAATGTGGGTGGAAAAGGTGAAACGCCCACACCTGTCTCTACCCTCATTTGCCCCACTCTGGGCCCTTGAGCAAGGCCCTTAACCCCCACCATCTGCTCCCAAACAGGTCTCTTGAAAACGAGTCCTCGTGACTCAATGAGACTTCCTGAATAAATAAAGGTAAAAAAAATTGGCCTGGTTACCAGCAGACTGTTGCAAAGACACACCTCGCTCCTATTATTGGTTTAATTTATGAACTGTAAACAAGAATAACACAGTTGGACAAACAAAATAGCATTTTAGCTTCAACAAGAACTATTAGTTGAAGTTTTGTCATTTTGTTCCTAAACTTTTCTGCTTCTGACCCAGAAAATATCTGTTTCAGAGGCTGGTGACCCCAAATAGTTCTTGTTTAAATATGACACAAGTTGCTGGAGATTTGAAGATGTCTTGATTAATAAAACCCACACCCTGAAAACACCACCTGAGGGGTAAAACTGACTACCGTATTTTCCGCCGTACACGTCGCACCGCCCTATAAGTCGCATTAGTCCAAATATGTCTAATAAAGTGGAAAAATACATAAATACGTTGCTTCTATCACGCGTCACCGCTGACAACCTGGAAATGTGGGCCGGTGTTGTGCCAAAAATCGATTGGCTGCCAAACGGTGGCCATGGGAGCGTGCACAGGAGGACTTTAACAGGAATTTAACAAGATTAACACTTAAAAACAATTTGTTTGCTCGAAATTACAGCAAATATGTGTCTCAGTCTAACTTCTCCTTAATAAATGCACTTTGACGGTCGAATCATCTGCATTTTAAAAGCCGATATGCGGAAATTGACGCGAGCGTGGGAGGACTCGCCGTGCAATTCTTCGAAATTTAACAAGATAAGCACCTAAAAACAATTGTGTGTTTGCTCGACATTATAGCGAAGGTGTGTCTCAGTTGAACTTTTACTTAATAAATGTACTTCTATGGTCAAATCAGCTGCATTTCGCCGGCGCAGCGAAGCTGATTTGACGGTTGCTCCAAGCGAGTTGGACGAAGGTGGCAGGTTATATGGCAAGCCGACTGTGTCATTAATAGCCACTTTTACCTATTACATGACACAACAGCATGCCATACATTGAGTGCCATCTAGCGGCTGAAAATGGTAGTGCTCAATATTGTCAGTCAGAATGAATGAAAACGGTCATATCTCAGTCAAAAACTGGTTTATAAATCTGTGAAAAAATCCATAAATAAGTCGCAGAACATGCAAATTATGCAAAAAGCCTTGACTTATAGGCAGAAAAATACAGTAATCAAAAATCCTTGTCCTCGTCTTAAAACGTTTGTTTGTTTGTTTAGCTCTTTTGGTAACTGGACTCAGCCTCAAACTTCTCTCTGCCCTTCTGTTCTTCGCAGGATTGAAGAAGAGCTGGGCGACCAGGCTCGCTTCGCAGGCCATAACTTCAGGAACCCCAGCGCCCTGTGAAACCGACCGCCGAATGACTCACACACGCTCGTGCACGCCAACGCCCACACAAACTGACACCAACGACAAACAAGGAATGAGCCATGTACAAAGAACGACCACGCAAATTCAGGAAAACACGACCGCCGAAGAGCCAAGCGAAATAAACGAACACATTTATGCACTGCACTTAAAAAGGGAGGTGAAACTGTATGCACATAAAACACACACACACTCGCACACACACCCAACGTGCACAGATGCAACACCTGATGATGCACATGCAGGGGAATACCTTCTAACTATAAAAGCCAGACATGCACTGTTACTGTAGGGATAGTTCACGTCCAGCCGGAAGAGAAACCTGCAAAAATAAAGATTAATGTTGTAAAAACAAAGACGTTAATAAGTAGAGGTAGAATAATTTAGACTGAAAGAGACGGAAAATGTCTAACTTTTAAGACCAAAACGAGGATGATGCAGCTGAGTGAACACGGTAAAACTCCACGCTGTAACTGTGTGAACGCGCTCACCTCCACTCCTCTCACCTCCTCCTCCTCTCTTTGAGCCTCCTCCTCCTCCTCGTCCCGTCTGTGTCTGTGTTCCGTTTGCTTCTCACACCGATGTGATCCTGATTACGTGTCCTTCATGCTTGAAGTCCTGCCTCTGTCTCAAACGAGAAAAAATAAATTGAACTCGAGTGTCTTTGGTTCCCCCTGAATGTCCACAGAGTAGTGTCGAAACAGAAGAAAGAAGAAATCTTTATCAGAAAGCTTGTCACTGACAATTAAAAATTGTGAAATAAAAATAGTAATTTACAATTTACAGCATCGTCCTGTTTCTTCCTGCAGCTCATTTTGTATCTACCGTATTTTATGGCGTATAAGTCACAGTTTTTTGCATAGATTTGCCAGTCCTGCGACTTAGATACGTTTTTTTTTCCATATTCATAACGCAATTTTTGACTGACACTTTAAATTTCTAAGAACTGTAACAGTGAGTCCTCCCGTGAGCGCTCGCTTCACTCAGCTGGTGCCAGTGGAGGAACGCTGGAAAGCTAGAAGCTCCAGCTGCGATGGATAGATGGATGGATGGATGGATGGATGGATGGATGGATAGATGGATAGATGGATGGATGGATGGATGGGTGGATAGATGGATAGATGGATAGATGGATGGATAGATGGATGGATGGATGGATGGATGGATGGATAGATGGATGGATGGATGGATGGATGGATGGATGGATAGATGGATGGATGGATGGGTGGATAGGTGGATAGATGGATAGATGGATGTATGGATGTATGGATAGATGGATAGATGGATGTATGTATGGATGAATGGATGGAGGAATGGATGGATAGATGGATAGATGGATGGATGGATGGATAGATGGATGGATTGATTGATAGATGGATGGATGAATGGATGGATAGATGGATAGATGGATGTATGGATGGATGAATGGATAGATGGATGTATGGATGGATGAATGGATGGATGGATGGATAGATGGATGATGGATGGATGGATGAATGGATGGATGGATGGATGGATGGATGGAGCCACGCTGCCCTGGTGAAATGAAGCTGTTTTGATCATTAAATAAATGCATAATAAACGCAAAAGATTAGCGGTGACACATTATAAATGCAACTTATACGCCGAAAAGGCTTACCGTATTTTTCGCCCTATAATTTTTTGCATAATTTACATGCCCTACAACTTATAGGCTGAAGTGACGTATTTATGGAAATTTTTCCCATATTTATAAACCATTTTTTGGCTGAGATGTGACCATTTCCATTCATTCTGACTGAAAAAAAAAAACAACAGTACCACTTTCAGCCACTTGATGGCAGCAGAGTAGTAGTAGCAGTACGGCATGTCGTTGTATCATGTAATAGGTAAACATGGCTATAATGACAAATTCAAAAAAGTTCAAGCCAAAAACAACTAGACTTTATTTATTATACTTTATTGTTTACTTCTTGAACTGTTTTGAATTTACCATGTCCTGGATGACTGAGAATCTTCACCAGCTATTAATGACACAATTGGCTTGCCATATACCCCACCTTCATTCTGCTCGCTGCTTGGAGCAAGTTAAACCAGCAGCACCGCCTCCGCGAAATGCAGCTAATTTGACCATTAAAGTGCATTTATTAAGCAAAAGTTAGACTGAGACACACTTTTACTATACTTTGGAGCCAAAAATAATTGTTTTTAAGTGTTAAGCTTGATAAATTGTTGTTAAATTCCTCACATGCACGCTTCTGCGGCCGCAATTTGGCAGCCCATCGATTTTTGGCACAACGGCCCACATTTCCAGGTTGTCAGCGGTGACGCGTAATAGATGCGACGTATACGGCGAAGTGACGTATTTATGGATTTTTCCACTTCATTAGACATATTTGGACTGATACGACTTAAAGGGCGGTGCAACATGTACAGTATGGCGGAAAATACGGTATATGTTTTTTCCTCTTCATGATGCTTTTTTTGACTGATGCGACTTATATGCCGGAAAATACAGTAATTTAGTTTTCATGCAGTTTTCCTGTTTGTTAATATTTTTGTGCACAATCTCACCACTTCTGCATATTTTGTGTTATTTAGACATTCATGAAAGAAAAAGCTCTTTTCAAAGATACTGTAACTTTTGGTTGTTGTAATCTTTATTTTTCAAAATAATTAACTTGATTTACAAAAAAAAACTACAGAGATCTTTTCCATTTCTTCAGAAACAGGGGTTGCAAATTAAATTCACACAGACCCTGAAAAAACAAACGCAAAACAAGCCACCAAACAAACTCTTTTCCACCATATTTTTATTTGTTTGCACTTAAAAAATGGCTTTACTGGTAGAAAACACTAAAATATTAACCAATATTATGTCCATAAAACTTTAATTATAACTTACAGAGAAAACTATGTGGATAAACAGTTTTATTGTGCGTTATGCACGTGCGTTGATGATGTCGACAAACTCCGGCTTCAAGGAGGCCCCGCCCACCAGGAAGCCGTCCACGTCCGCCTGAGACGCCAGCTCCCTGCAGTTCGCTCCCGTGACCGAACCTGGACACAACCCATGAGCAATACGTGGGAAAATTAACCTGCGTTTATTATATTTGGGAAATAAATGTTTAAATAGCATTCAAAAACTATAAATAGTCCAGACAACAAAGACTTGGTATATTTCTGTTTTTTGTTGTAGTATCAGGAACGCCAACATTTTCACAAGTTGATTTTTAGAGTTTAAAAGAAGATGAAAATAGTAAAACACTGTTCTATATCCAGACTGGATGCATTTTGAGTCGTTTTTTTTGTTTTCAGCCATCATATATATTATTGTTAACATCTGGTTAATGATGCTTTAATTGTTTTAGATGAGTTACAAGTAAAAAAACAACAACAATATTTACAACTTTTGTTTCTTTTACAGCTTTTGCAGCAGAAACTGTCAAGAGAAACACAATCCATCATTTCTATCAAACAGAAATATGACAAATTTGTGACTCAAACAAAAAATATATAAAATTGTGTTAATAACCTGCATCATACACCAAAAAATGTGTATTTTAAAGCATATCACTTTTGATAAATAATAAAATAATTCGTAATCACAGTCATAAAACACACACATGAGGATAGTATGACTTTTAAGTTTTTATATATATTTACAACTTTACTGTATTTTAGTTTAATGGCAGCAAAAGGATGTTGTACTTTCTTATTGATAGTAAAATATGTTTTTTTTGCCTACAGTACAAAATATTCTTGACTATAATTCGCTATAAACTGACATCATAACGGTTTAGATGTATAAATTCAGGAAACAAAGCTCACATTGCTGTTTAATTTCAGTTTTTTAGTTTTACCCACACTTTGACTGTTTTCTAACCTCTGGGAGGTTTTTACACTCATTCAGCTCCACCATGTAAACTTACAGAGTCAATTCTTTAAAACTTTCCACAGTTTGGTGAAATATAATCATGCAAGTCACGTGACGGCTGCTTCATACAGCCATGGGTGTAGTTTAAGTTTTTATGACGGTTGTTTCAGTTGCTCCAAATGGCCACGCTGAAAAGCTTAACGAGGAAGAACAAGGTGACATTTAGAAGGAGACCCCGTGGGTTAAACTGAGCAGAGCTGCACGGTTCGACCCATTACAGCAAAAAATAACGGTCAAACCCAACGGCACCCGTGGGGAAAGTGCTGGAGTGTGTTTGTGATGATATCTGGACCTCTTGAAAGAACCAACGAGGGATAAATCTCTGAACTTATTGATGTCAACCACAACCAGTAGCAACTGGATGCAGGAGATAGAACCGTGTCGTTATTTGATTTATTTTAAATGTTTTACGTTTGATCATGCGGCCAATCATAGCATGAAGGGTTTGCAAACGTTACACAAATCTGGATTAAACATCCTGAATTATGAGGTCATATTTTTATTTTAGAGTATGACAAAACGTCAAATCTTAAAATGATAAAATCACATTATTTGCCTGATTTTGTGCAACTCTACCTTGTTTTGTTGTTCCTGTTCTTCAAAGACAACATTTCCTGAAAGGTTAGCTTTGCCCTGATTGGTCAGAAAGGTGTGGAGCACAAACTAGTTGGGTTATAAGTGAATGAAACATGAAGATGCTCATTTACGGTAGAGAAACGTCCCGGACCATAAAGAAAACGTTCATCAGATCTTTGCAAAGACTCTGAGCAGAAAAATCCTTACAGAGTTGGAAATAAACGCTAAAAAGTACATAATTTCTGCTTCAACGTGAGATTAGGACTAAAATGAGTGTTTTACCTCCATAAATGATGCGAACAGAATCGGCAACGTCGTCTGAGACGTTTGCTCGGAGCCAAAGCCTCAGCTTCTCGTGGACCTCCTGAGCCTGAAACAAACAAAACAGAAATAATTTATTATCGGACAAGTAAATCTGATAATCCATTCAAAACACAAGAGAAGGTTATTTTGTTGAACTATTTATCCTAATAAAAACATATTTTTTATTGTGTTGCCCCCGTTTAACGTCATAAATCTGTAAAATAACTTTCTTGGTGGTAACAGTCTGATTCAAGGTCATTAAATAATCACCTAATTTAAATGAAATGAACCACTCTAACATTTTCCTTTTTACTTAATTACATTCATTGATTTTAGGCACTAACAGGTGAGGAATCAGAAAACTGAATATAGGTGAAGATAAAGATTAAATCTAGATGAATAAATCATAAATAGACAATAATTTTATTTATTTGTTTATAAAATGACAGACAGCTTTATAACAGTGAATTGTCCATCATCCTAAACTTCTATTAGTTCTCCCTTCTTGTTAACTTGGATTTTTATTATTTGTTTTCATTTTATTTTCAAGGTCACTTTTCTTACATGTTGAATTCATATTTTCTGTTAACAGAACTTGACTTATTTTAAAATTCAGTCAAGTTTCAAGTCAGACTGAATTTTTTCACGTTGACTTTAATGTTCCTCCGTATAAAAACCTGACAGGCACGTGAAATGAAACCAGATTCAACATGAGTAACCACAGCTGCTGCTCCTCTTTGCTTTTACCTGCTCAGGTGTGGCGGTCATGCCAGTGCCGATGGCCCACACCGGTTCATACGCCAGAACCACCTTCCCCCAGTCGTTCACATTCTCTGCAACACAACAGCCCAGAATTACAGATAAAACACTGAAGCTCACAAAGCCACGAGTTTAGATTCACACAGACATCTACAGAGGAATAATCCTTCATAACCCGACACTTGAATTCAGATTGAGGTGTCCTGGAGGCAGCGTAAAGCTGAGATCATCCTTAAAATCTGAAGCTTGTCTTTTAGTCGCCTTGCAGATGCGTGACAGAGGCAGAAAGCAGGAGACCACTGACCTACTTACATTTAGAATCAGTCGGCAGCCTACTTTTGGCTCAGAAGGAAGACACACGAGACCAGCATGTTACAGAAAACAGCCTTAATCAGGTCATACCATCCAGAGTACAGTAAATCAGGGGTTCCCAACTATGGTCCTTGTGGAACGCCGTCCTGCGTGTTTTACTTGTTTTCCTGCTTTGACGCACCTGATTTGAGTGAAAGTGTGATTAACAGGCTTCTGCTGAACTTAAAGAAGTAATTAAATCACTGATTCAGGCGTATTGGAGCAGGAAACAACTGAAACATGCAGGATGGTGTTCCTCAGGGACCAGAGCTAGGAACCACTGCTAAAGATGCCAGAGAGGTGCAGGTTCGGATGAAAATACCCTGAAGCTGCGTCTATAAATTCTCCACGAATACGAACTTTTACAATTATTTATCTTAGAGATGCAAATCTTTTACCAATAAACTCATTAATCACTGTTAACCCAAGAAATAAAGACCAATATTTCAAAACAAATGCTTTCATTAAACTATATTATTGTATTTAGTCAAACTGATTTAGATGTTTTAGGTGTTTGTCATGATAAAATTTTAAACTGTGTTGTTATAATTACAATATTACAAATTTCAATTAATATTTGAGGATTCTTTTTAAAAAAAGAAAGAAGATTAGTGATTTTTTTTTAGAAAACCTGCGATGATTTGCGTCTGAGTGAAAACGACGTCGTCGGTGGTTCCGGCCTCTCGCTCCTCCAGCTTCTCGCCGATGCAGGCGATCACACCCAGATCATGTTCCAGAGCGTGGGCCACCTGAAGACAGTTTACAGGTGAGTCTGTAACATGCAACGACTGTAGAAATAACATCAGTTTGTGCAGGAAGAATGACGGGAGCAAACAAACAGCCTCAACGGTGAAAATTTCACATCAACCGACCGAGGCGACTTTTAAATTAACTGTTGTGGATTTTTTTATTGTTTTAAATCCTGTTGAACATATGAAGGTTTCAACACTGATACAATATACTACATAAAATGATTTGTAAGGATTAAAAGTTTAGTTTTTAATGGATATATTCTAAAATATTAACTTGTATTTGTTTGTACTCTGGTACAATATGAGGGCTGCTGTAAATAAATATAACAGAAGGAACTGGTGAGGAGGGAGATGCAACATGGCTTCGACGAAAGGATGACGAGGGAGTTGAGCGGAAACATTGTTATAGCTGCAAGATCAGCAAACTGAGACAGTTTGCAATCTGACAAAAAAAAATCCAGCATTCAAAACATGAGTCATAATCCTTAAACTTTATTTATTATTCATTTATTTAATATGTGGCCATGTAGCACCATCCTGGAAGCTTTAACTTGTTGTCTCACTATTTTATGACTTCACAGGATGTTTCACATAAATGTCTGTTTTTGTAAAATGAGAATACAAATACAAGAATGTTACAATCTGACGCGACAACAGCCACCAGGATGTAATTAAATATGGGTGTTTCCACCTTCTGCACAACTCAAGTAGTCACGGAGTCAAAGCATAACAGTATGTTAGAACTGTGATTTTATTTACAATTGTGAAAATTATCGACGTCTTTGGAGTCTTACCAACATCAAGGTGAACCCATGCCAAAACGACAAACAAAACCATCTAACTAAAATTTTTTTTTCTTACCTGAAGAAAAAGAAAAAACAAAATACAGGTCTCTAACCTCAACTAAACTAACGAAAAGCATGAGAAAAGGGTCTTAAAAATAAAGTGAGAGCTCACCCCTACAACCTCCTCATAAAACTATTTACACTAATTAATCTGATGAGGGACAGTGGGTCAGCTGCTGGTTGGGGAGAGCAGAGTGAGTGGAAGCTCTCATATACATCCTGGTGGCTGTTGTCGCGCCAGGTTGTAACAATTGGGGGCTCGTCCGGGATCGAGGTTGTAACAATTGGGGGCTCGTCCGGGATCGAGGTTGCAACAATTGGGGGCTCGTCTGAAGCCGAGGTTGTAACAAAGAATTTTTAACATAAGACAACATTCATGTTTTTTCTTGTAAATCTATGTCATTAATGTTGGAGAAAAATATTCTTGCTTTATCTTACTTACTCAAAATGAGCCACACTCGACAACAGGAGAAGATTTTTAACTGGTATTTTACTTGCAAGGACAGATTTTCAGGAGAAGTTACACAGATATACAGGAGGTACATATGAAGACCAGTCACGAGAAGCTGCCATGAGCTGTGTGTGCAGCTTGTTTTTAGACTCTTATCAGTTCAGCTGAGCTCACAGCCTCGGAGGCGTCCTTGAAGCGACAGCTGCACTTAGCAGCCTCGCCCAGCTCCTCATCCCGCTTTCTGCAAGCCCAAATATATGGTCCATGGGCAGAGTTAACATTCTCAGCCCTTGTAGTTGAAAATATCCATAAACTTTGACCAAAAATTCCCTAACAATTAATTTCTGAGATTTGTCTTCAAACTTAAGCCCCACCCACTGGCTCATGTTAATAACAATGACCCTAATACACCTTTTGTAAAACTTTGAATAAAGCTGAAGTAATAAAAGTAAGGACCTGCAACTCAAGTAAGTTCTTTTTTAAATGCAATGCCAATTTTATTTATTAAAATATATTTTTAATATGTTGGAGAAAAATGTACAAAATTAAAGCCGTTTTTTTCTTCCTAAAACTTTCTTATTAAATGTTTTAAGGCCAAACCATTATCAGCTGAAGCATCTATGTGTTTTAGATCAACAGAAACCAAACGCCTCACCTTCTGTCCGACGAGCTCTTCACTCTCCCCGAACACGTGGCGTCTCTCCGAGTGTCCGAGGACCACCCAGTCGGCCCCGCAGTCCTTAATCATGGCGGGGCTGGAGGGACAGCATGGAGACAGGTGAGTCACATCACAACACGCTGAACCAAATCAGGAGTTTTCTCCAGGCTGTGACTTAAATAAATGTTTATTTGTGATTAATCGTTTCAAACAAATCATCTCTTAAGGTCTGTTGGTTTAAAACACATAACTTGTCTCATCTGAACAAATACAATGTTCATATTTATCAAATATTTTCGTACTAAACAGCTATTTTACATATTTGAGAAGACTTTTGCTAAAGTGATATTTTCAGTTTATAAAAATGGATAAATAATTGATCATTAATTGAGATGGCTGCTCATAAAGTTTCAATTTAATAATATTATATTATACAATATATTATTCTTAGACAAAGTTTTTTAAAAGTAAAGTATCACATTACCATTTTGAACATTAGTGCAGATAATTAGGTGTTATTTCCACCCATCGTGACGCAAAGTTAGAATGTTAATAATAAAGCAAATAAGTTTACAACAAGGTGTGGACATTAATAATTCACTGATAAAAAAAAGAACTGTTCATTATATGGAAAACAAATACAAACAACAAATAAAAACAGTCTTATATGTAAATAAGTAAATAAATGTTCATTTTCTCTGATTTGTTGTGTTTGTGTTTTTCCCCTCAGAGGACGACACACCTGATCTCTCCGGTAAACGCTCCTTTGGACTCTTTGTAGCAGTTCTGGGCTGCGACGCTGATCCGAGGATCCAAACAGGACCGAGCGAAGTCCAGGTAGATGAAGGGAGCAGCACACACCACCTCTGGACACAACATCTGGAGGTTAAACGTGTTAACAGCCAGAACTGATGGACCGCTGAGCACAAAGAGTCCTGAACTCATGTGACCTTAGAGATATCATCCATCCATCCATCCATCCATCCACCTTCTCTCATCCATCCATCCATCCATCCACCTTCTCTCATCCATCCATCCATCCATCCACCTACTCTCATCCATCCATCCACCCATCCATCCATCCATCCACCTTCTCTCATCCATCCACCTACTCTCATCCATCCATCCACCCACCTACTCTCATCCATCCATCCATCCATCCATCCACCCACCTATTCTCATCCATCCATCCATCCTTCCATCCATCCATCCATCCACCTTCTCTCATCCATTCATCCATCCATCCATCCATCCATCCACCTTCTCTTGTCCATCCATCCATCCATCCACCCACCCACCTACTCTCATCCATCCATCCATCCATCCATCCATCCACCCACCTACTCTCATCCATCCATCCATCCATCCATCCACCCACATACTCTCATCCATCCATCCATCCAAACTGAAAATATTTATTGGAGTTTGTTTTAAACTGATAAATCACCCCACATAAGCACATAACTAAAATCTTTATTCAACAATTGTATAAAAACTCTAAATTTTGAGAAAAATAACCATTTATGTATCTAAAAACTATCAGAAAAAGGTGTGTTCCAGTTCCTCTTTGAATAAAAATAGTTACAATAAAAGTCTTGGCCTTATTGGGATGATGTTGCATAATGGATTATAATAAATTTAATGCAATACAAATAATTTCATCTCATGTTTGTATGAAATTACAACGATGACAGAACATTACATCACAATACATAGAAATTATTATAAAGCATCTAAAGTTAATACTCAACCGTAAATGTTCTGCATTATTTCAGACTTTGAACAAGCTGCATTAACAAAGTGAGTTAAAACAATTTTTAAATCTTGGTTTTCTGCTTATTCAAACTTTCGCTATAATTTAGTGACTTTGCACTGTGCGGATCATCCTGATCACGTGACTCGGTCTGAGCCGCATTACACCATCCTGATCACTTTCCTCCATACTAAAACCCTGCCAATCAGTGATCGATCAGTGTTATTGATCAGTCTGTTACCGGTCTCCTCCTGCAGGTCGGAGGTGTTCAGGTTCAGGATCAGCTCCCCCAGACTCTCCTTGGTCCCGTTCATCTTCCAGTTCCCTCCAACCAAGAACCTGCGGAGCGCCATGTCTGGTTCCCGGGGAGGAGAGGAGGTCGAGGTCCGGCTGGTGTGTAGGTCAAGGGCAGTGGGAAATATCAGCACCTTGCACCAGAGGAGATCAGAGCTCTTCTGGGCTGGGATTATGACGAGTGGAAAACCTCCTGGTTCTTCACTGCCCCCTGCTGAAGAGACTGAAAACTCATGGAAAAAACAAACAAACAACCAAACAAAACATGTGGTAGCTTAGGGGTCTGTGGTTGTGTCAGTGAGGGCATCTGGAGTAACTGCCAAGTCTTTGTGAGAGTTAGTTCACCGTGGTGACCCCTGAAGAAGGGAGCAGCCGAAAGGAACCATACATGTAACAAAGTTCATGCTCAGTCAAGGCTCATTGAAGACTCATTTTCAAGAGAGACCTGACTGTTGTTGTGAACAATGAGAACAATAAGTGCTGTTTGGATAATAACTTGTCCATCAGCTGAAAAGTAAATGTTCAGTGATACCATTGTAGTATGAACATATGCTGATATATATTCATAAATTAAACGGATTCTTTCATTTTTCTGGACTGTATAATATACGTGCATTGAATTTAGAAATGTAACGTGAGACGTTAATTATCTTTGACTCACCAACGACAGTGGGTCATTTATTAACAGAATCAAAGTTTAACACATCACACATTTACATTAATTGGTAAAATATGGAAAATAACAACATGGCTAATTTAAGCAAGTTTTACAGGAAGTAAACAATACAGCGATTGTTTTGTTACTTCCAGCAGTACAACAGCCATTAACCACACGGCGGTGGTTGAAAAACTTTGTTTCAGACACTTCTAAAAATATCTGGAATGATTTCTACTTGATAGAAGAATTTTAAAGATGGAAAGATGAAGTTTAGAGGGAGAAAAAGACGGATGAGGGAGAATGTTTGTGTCAGCATCAGAACGGCACTCTCCGGGTTTTTCCCAGCTTCTTCCCCGGTATAGGCCACGAGATGTAGAATGAACATATGCTGATATATTCATAAATTAAACGGATTCTTTCATTTTTCTGGACTGTATAATGACGTGCATCTGAATTTAATAAAATGTGACGTGAGACGTTAATTATCTTTGACTCACCAACAACAGTGGGTCATTTATTAACAGAATCAAGTTTAACACATCACACATTTACATTAATTGGCAAGAATTGAAAATAACGACAGCTTATTAATCAGTTTTACAGGAAGTAAACAATACGGCGATTGTTTTCTAGCTAGCAGCAGTACAACAGACATTAACCACACGGCGGTGGTTGAAAAACTTTGCTTCAGACATTTCTAAAAATATCTGGATTAATTTCTACTTGATAGAAGAGTTTTAAAGATGGAAAGATGAAGTTTAGAGGGAGAAAAAGATGGATGAGGGAGAATGTTTGTGTCAGCATCAGAACGGCACTCTCCGGGTTTTCCCCAGCTTCTTCCCCGGTACACTTAGGTGATAGAAATCTCTTTTACCTGGAGATGTCTCCCTGATACGAAATTCCATTTAACGCACCCTTTCAGCGTCTCCGTAGGAACAGCTGTGAATCGTCCGAAGTAGTGACGTTACTTGTTCGACACAAATTCACCTCACGAGTGGACTTCACCTGAGTGGAGTCCGTCAGAGTTCCACTCAGAGGTGGAAGATATCATAATCCCAATACTCGAAAGAGCTTTGAATCATGGCTGGACTTCTGTTCTCCCAAACGACTGGAGCTCAACTCCCAACTCGACTCAAACCGGACTGCGTTGAACTAGGAAGTACCAACCTTTAAAGGGCTCTATTTCCGGTTCACTTGGGAGTTTCCTGATTGGTCGTTTCAACCAGACAGGGGTGTGTTTTTGTGACGTAAGAGGTCACTAGGAGTTAGAAAAACAGCAAGAATGTTATGGAACAGATTGAAAATGTTTTCAGACAGACGAGAGGAATATTTAGACGAGTTGGCGGAAAACAGGTGCCAGCTTCTCTATTTACGTCTGAGAGGATTTAAAAACATGACAGTTCGTTCCAACAACTTGTTTGCGTTTGACTCCAACCTTGGACCAACTTACACTGCTCATTCAAAGACAGAAAATCAGAAAATGCATAATTACTCTGTAACAGACCTTAACAGGAATTCTAACTTTGCATGAGGATTAAAAATCATTATTACTGTTTCACAGTTAATAAAAAATGATTAGTTCACTGCAACATCTAAAATGGTTTGAACTAAAAACACTTTGATTATCAAACATTTGTAAAATAGTAATGATAATAGAAAAGAGAGTGTTCTTTCACTTGAATTTTCAAGAAAGAAAGTCTCAGGATGGGTCAACCTGTATTTCTGGATTCAAATCAATGAAATGACAGTTTCTGTCCCATAAAGTCCTTAAGGTCAGGATTTGACCTTCAGGCCTAGTTCACTACACCATCACAGATTCTTTGAAGCCTTGAAGCTACGTTTTGATAATATCCAGATCATCTGAATGTCTTGAGCAGTTCCAGAAATATGGCGTGTTTTTGTCGTGACCAACACACAACTTACCAGTTTTGTAATGTTTGTCAAAGCTTTGACGTCATAGGACTTTCAGACAGAGGCTGGTCCATCCTAAGGACTGAACGTCTGCAGGTCAGTGCAGCAACGGACGTTCAGACTTCTGAAGAAACCGCAGAGCCGCTCCACAGAAACTGGAGATCCAGCTCTTCAGCTGGTTTTGTTTAACAGAGGTGAAAAAAGTCTCATCTCTCTTTAACAAAATGATTAGAAACCATGTAAACCTGAGTCCACCCTTAATTTCTATGTTTTTCCTCCAAGCAGCCTGCCTTTTTATGATCTTTTAAATTCCTCATATTCTTCAGGCTTTTTAAAGTTATACTATTTTTAGATGAAACCTTTTGCTTGTTAAACCATTTAGCTCTGACATGTGAAGAATCCACAGAACGGTTGCTGAACTCAAGGGATGGACCGGTGCTGTGTGGACACAAACAACTTGGACCAGTTTTTAAAAAAGGTCAGCAGCCTGACACAAAGACAGTCTGCGCCCATTCCAAAGATAATGTTGACAGTTGACAGAAGAAGTGAATATTTCATTGATTTTAGCTAAAAACTAAAAACTTGTCAATCTGTGATCAACTGAAAGTTTCAGCTTTTTAGTAGAGTTGCATTCGGGTCTAAAAAAAATCCGATCCGGCTCGGCCTGAACCCGTATCATTTCTTTCCGAGCCCGACCCAAAACCGATCAATTAATTGTGATTACAGGCCTGACCCCCCCCCCCCCAATACAAATAATTAAGCTTTTGCTGCCTTTGTAAGCAAATCGCTTTGACACGATAGTTTTAAAAACGTATTTCAAAGAAAGGAAGATATAAGATTTATTGTTTATTAACAACAGTCAGCAGATTATTACTTATTATAATATTTTAGTTGCTAACGGTCATCGGCCGCGCACGTCCGCTGACGCAGCGGCTGAGTCCAGTTAATCTTCATGTGGGTCGCTGGCAGTGAGCCATCTGGACTTTTTTAAAGTCTTTCAACCGGCCGGTTAGCGCAGGGTCAACTGGCCAGTTAGCACACAGGCAATTGGCCGGTTAGTGCGCGGTCAATCGGCTGGTTAGTACGCGGTCAACCAGCCAGTTAGTGCACGGTCAATCAGACGGTTAGTGCACGGTCAACCAGCCAGTTAGTGCGCGGTCAATCAGACGGTTAG